CATTAAACGATGATGATGATGATGATAAAATATGGGAAATTTTCCGGAAATTGAATTTATCATAAAGTTTTTTTTCCTGGTTGACCGAATTTTTCCAAAAAAAATATTTAACCCCACCATCCCACCACCAGACTAACCAAACTAAACGAGAAGCAGCAGACTGGGAATAAAAAATTATTTAAATCAATTTAGTTTAGTTTTTTCCGGGAAAATTTCTGAACATCATCATCATCATCATTGATAATGATAATTAAACATTGTTGAATTTTTTTTTTTGGGTTGTTGAAGAAATATTGTACTCGACAAAAATGTTGGCAAGAAAAAAAGAATATTGAATTTCATCGATAATAATAATAATAATAATCATTAGGGAAATGAACAACGAAGACACTGGTGAAAAATGGTTTAAAGGCATTTTTAAATTTGAATTTTTTTTTGGAAATTTTTCCGGAAAATCAAATTCTCATTAGTTGTTGTTAGGGGGCAAACAAGCAAGTAAAAAAAAATCTTATAAAAAAATTTTCCGGAAAACATTTTCAGAAAAACATTTTCAGGAACATTTTTCTTTCTTTTGATTATTTTTTGGGAAACTAAACGAAGGAAGAAAAAAAATACTGAAACATTCTGAAATGAAGGCAAAACAGAAACATTTCCGTATCCGATGAGAAGAAATTTACCACCACCACCACCATCATTCAAATGAATTTTTTTTTTAATTTTCCATAAAATGTCGCATCATCATCCATAATGTTTTTCATCAAAACAGCAGCAGCAGCAGTAGCAAAAATAAATAAACATTGTTGTTGTTGTTTTTGTTGTTGTTGTTGTTAGAGCATCATTATCATTAACAACAAGATCATTATCATCATCATCATCATCAGCTAAACACAACAAAACACACACACACAAATTGAACATTGATTGAAACAAATCAACAACAACAACAACAATTCTTGTCCATTTCCTGACTGTTTTTTGCTTTTTGTTTTGTAGAAATCTTTTGTTGTCCGAAACAAAACAAAAAACATAGGAAAAAAGGGAAAAATTTGAATGGAAGAAAACGATCGATTTTTCAGGCTTTTTCCGAAAAAATTTCCCAGTTTATATGATGCTTTCATCGCATTCATACGATGAAAGTTTTTCTTTTTATCCTCCATTGGTTGTTGGCTGATAAAAATGACATTTTTGTTTTTCAAAACAAAACGTGTGCATAGTGGTGGTTCATTGGAGATTTTTTTTTGAAAAAAAATCAAAATTTAACCCAGGAAGGATGACAAGGGATGAAAATCGATCAATAAAAACTAAACAAAACAATGGTGGTGTGTGACATTCATCGTTTTGCCGCATCATTTTTTTTGTTTTTGTTTTGTTGGTTGATGGAAATGGCCATTCTTTTTTTTAAAAAAAAAAGACGATGTGAAAACATCGGTTAACATCGATTAAATGTTGATGTGATGAACACTTTTGTTTGTTGATGATGATGATGTTAATGATGTGACTGAAAATAAAACCAAGAAAAAAATTTCTGAAAAGTTTTTTGGAAAAAAAATTGCCGGAAATTTCCTTTACATTGTTTTTTTCGCTCTCATTTTATTCGAAATTGACAAATATCATTTTTGCTTGTTCAAAATTGAATGAATGAAAAAAATTAGTCTGATCATTCATTGAAGAAGAAGAAGGAAAAGAACATGCAAACAATGACAATGGAAATGAATTGAATTGAATCGAATGTTGAAAGTAAAAAAAGCCACAAATGAAAATGATTTTCATTTGAGAAAATGGTAAAGAAGAAGAAGAAAAAGAATAAGAGAAAACGAATTGGTTGAATGAATATTTCAATATTTCATTTGGGAAAAAATTTTTTGTTGCGCACACAAAGAATTTGAATTGACAAAGAATTAATTCTCGGGAAAAAATACCCCGAAAAAAAAACTTCAATTCATTCAATTCAATTCAATTTGAATAGAGAACGGACAATTGAGAAATATTTCCGAAAATATTTTGCAATTCTCTCTCTCTCTCTCTCTCTCTCTCTCTCTCTCTC